CGCAGGGCACAGAGCTCACTGGCACGGCGGGCGGTGGTGATGGCCAGGAGAAACGCCGTCTTCCACGAGAGATGGGAGAGGTCAGCAGAAGCCAAGGGTTCGAATGGAGGCCTGGTGAGGGCAGAGAGGACGAGGCGAAGGTCCCACGCCGGAGGAGGAAGGAGACGAGGAGGGTACTTGTTCTTGTAGCCTTGGAGGAAGAGTTGAACCAACGGGTCCTGGAAGGGAGAAGGGAGGCAGCGTCGCTTCCTATGAGCGACGATGGCCGCGAGATAGCACTTGACCGACGACAGGGCGAGGCCCTTGAGAGCCAAGGAAGCAAGAAAATCCAGGAGGACGGGGGGAGAAGCCGTGAGGGGGTCCGCGCCCCGTGCGGAGGCAAAGGCAGTAAAGAGAGCCCACTTGCGGGAATAGGACCGTTGCGTGGAAGGTCGATGGGCCGCATTCAGGATGTCAAGGACCGGCGCGGAGAGGTCCGCGGTTGGATCCTCCAGGCAGTGAGGCGGAGCCACTTGGCGTCCGGGTGGCGGACCGTCCCGGAGTGAGTGGTTAAGAGGTCCGGCCGTGGGGGGAGCCGACGGTGACAGCCGGCCGCCATGGAGGATAGGAGCGAGAACCAGGGCTGACGAGGCCAGTAAGGGGCTACCACGATGGCGTCCACCTTGTCGTGGTAGAGTTTGGCGACCACCTTCGGGAGGAGAGGGATGGGGGGAAAGGCGTAGACCAAGGGTCCCGTCCACCGGAAAAGGAAGGCGTCGCCCAGGCATCCGCTGGGGGTGTGGTGAGCCCCCCAGGAGCAGAAAAGGTTGCACTTCGCGTTGGCCCTCGTGGCGAAGAGGTCGACCAGGGGAGTGCTCCACCGTTGGAAGAGAAACGAGGCGACGTCGGGATGAAGGGACCACTCGTGATCCGTGGTAGAGGATCGACTGAGGAAATCGGCCCGATCGTTGGACAGGCCCGGGACATGAATGGCGACAATATAAATGTCGTGGGCGATGCACCAATGCCACAAGGCGAGGGTAAGCGTCAAAAGGGCCTGCGATTGAGTACCGCCCTGTTTGTTGACATACCACATGACGGTGGTGTTGTCGGTGCACACCTGGACCACATGATGGGAGAGGAGGTCCCGGAACGCCCGAAGGGCCTTGACGAGGGCCAGCATCTCTAACAGGTTGATGTGGAGCCGACGCTCGGAGGGTGCCCAAAGGCCACATGTGGAGTGGCGGCCCGTGAACGCTCCCCAGCCCGTGAGGGAGGCGTCCGTGGTAAGCCTGCGGGACGGGTCCCGGGGTCGGAAGGGCATGCCCGCGAGGACCGACGATCGGAGGAGCCACCACCTGAGGGAGCGGGCGACGTGACGCGGCAGAACGAGGCGGGTGGACGGCGTGTCGCGAAGATGGTTGAAGTGGCGGAGGAACCAGGCCTGCAGCGGGCGCATGTGGAGGTGCGCAAAGGGGGTGACGGCCGAGGTCGACGCCATGTGCCCCAGGGTGGACTGGACCTGCGAAGCGGGAACTCCAGCGTGACGCGTCAGGGAGCGGACGGAGGTGCGAAGGGCCTCTAAGCGGTCCTCGGGGAGATAGGCAGTGTGGGTGGTCGAGTCGAGCACCGCTCCAATGAACTGTATGGTCCTCGTGGGAGTGAGGTGGGACTTGGTATGGTTCACGACGAGGCCGAGGTCCTGCAGAAGGGAGAGGGTGAAGCGGATGTCGTTAAGGAGGGAGGAGCGCGAGCGGCCCAGGAGCAGCCAGTCATCAATGTACGGGAAGACGGCCACGCCCTGAGTGCGGAGGAAGGCAGAGACAGCGGCCATGCACTTGGTGAATACCCTTGGGGCGGTGGAAATCCCAAAGGGGAGAACCCGGTAGGAAAAAGCGAGGTCGCCTATCATGAAAGAGAGGAACCTGCAGTGAGGGCGGGAGATGGAAATGTGGAAGTACGCGTCCCGGAGGTCGATCGTGGCGAACCACGCCCCCGCGGGAATGAGGGGAAGGATGGCGGAGAGCGTCACCATCCGGAAGGTGGGAGAGTAAACGAACGTATTCAGGGCCCGGAGGTCAAGGATGGCGCGCTGGCCGCCACCCTTCTTGGCCACCAAAAAGTAACGGGAAAAAAAGGCTGACGAAAAAAACTGAGGAGGAAGAGGGACAATCGCCCCCTTAGACAACAAGGAGCGGACCTCCTCCCATAACCCCTGGGAGGGGGAAGTAGCCCTCACCACTCCCGTAGGGGGAAGGGAAACAAAATCAATGGCGTAGCCATGTAAGACCACGTCCAAAACCCACTTATCCGTGGTGATGGCCTGCCAGGCCAAAAAGAAAGGTACTAATCGGAAACCAAACTGAAAATCCACCCCGGGCACAAGCTGGTGCCGCTCAAGGGCGTCAACGTCCAACGAAAATGGAAAGGCAGCACCGTGCCGTGAGGGGGGGGAAACTGTGGGAGAAACCCGGGAGGAGGAGGTGAAGTGGGGGGGGGAGTCAAAAACGACGCCTGCCCCTGCCCTGAAACCGGGGCTTCCCCTGTTGGGGCAGGCGAGCCGGCTGCTGTTGCCTAGGCGGCTGGGGCAGTGGGGTCTGAGGAAAAAGCCTGGGGGGCGCTGGGTATGGCCGACGGGTATAGGAAGCAGAGGGTTGCCACCGACCTGCCGACCGAGGCTGCCTCTGGGTCACATAACCAAACGTATGGGCCGCCCGGCGGACTTCGTGAGTCTCCTTAAGCTGGGAGTTGGTCTCCGGGTTAAACAAACCCGAGTCATGGACTGGGAGGTTCTCCGCCAAGGCCCTGCCTTCCTCCGAGAGCGTGGACGCCCGGAGCCATGCATGCCGGCGGATGGTCGTGGAGACAGCAAAAAGGCGGCCTGCAGAGTCAGCGGCGTGTTTGGCCATGTCCTTCTGGGCCCTGGACAGGACTAGCGCTTCCTGAAGGATGGCGTCAGCCCGCAGGCGGCGGTCATCTGGGAGGTAAGGTGTGTAAGCATTGAGGAGCTTCCAGAGGTAGGTCTGATAAGCCGCAAAATAAGCTTCATAGTGTGCCAAGCGGGTAAAAAAAGATGCGCTGGAGTGCACCTTCTTGCCGATAGAGTCGAGCTTCCTGCCCTCTTTGTTGGAGGGAGTGCTCTGGGGCTTGAACCGCTTGCCCGGAGCCATGTCCGCCACCACTGTGTTCGGCTTGGACGGCCGGGCGATCCAGGGAGCAGCGGACAGGTCAATCCTGTACAGGAGGTCATTACGGCGGGAGACAGGGTTAACGGCAGGAGGCGGGAGATCCGGCATCTTCGCCAGCTGTAACAAGTAAGGAATCCCGGTGAGGAGAGTCGAAGGGGGCGGAGACTGCCGTTGTTCATCAGAGGGAAAAAGGAAATCATCCACCGGCTGGTGGGACGCAGTCACCGGGACTTTAAGTGCCCTGGACAGCCGGGTGAGGAGCGCCGTGAAGGCCATGGCATCCGGCGGGGGAGCCGGGTCGGAGGCCGCGGGCTGGTCTGGGGGCGGAGTGTGCGAGGAGCGGGAGCCCGAGTAGGCAGACACATCACGGGCCCCGTCAAGGTCGTCGTCATCCTCCACAAGGGCAGGAAAGGAAGATGCCCCCTGCGGCGGGGGAAAGGAGGAGGGCCCCCTGATACCCTGTTCAGGGACCAACACAGGACCATACACATAGGCCCTGCCCCCCGGGGACCTATGAATAGATGGGTCCCTGGGCAGGGAAGCACCAGCTGATGCCCCATGCCAGGTAATCAGGCTATCCGACGTCCGGCCCCCCCTAGGGGGGGAGAGAAATGCCGGCGCCCCAAACTGAGAAGGAGGGGAAGAGCGGAAGGGCGAGAAAACCGGCGGGTCCGGGCGGTCTGCATAGGACGGGCCCGGGAGGGGGGAATCCCTGGAGCCCGCCTCCAAAGGCCTCGGGCCCGAGGCCGGAAGGTTCGCCGCCTGGGCCTCCAGATCCCTGGAGGCAGTCAGGGGAAAAAGAAGCGGCTGCTGGTCGGCGCGATGCCGGGCGGCTGCCCCCGCATTGAAGGGGTGGGCCGGGCCCGGGGCCTGAGTTGGCGCTGGCAGCGCTGGGCTCGGCGTGCGGCGCGGCCGCTGTCCCAGGGTGGGCGCCGACGGACGGGCTCGCGAGGGGGAGCAGGTCGGGGAGCGCGGCTCCGCCTCCTTCCTCTTCTTCTTCTTAGGCTTCCTGGAGGAGGAGGGGCCCTCCGAGGCATCGCGCAGCCGCTTGGAGGCGGAAGAGGACAGCAGCGCGGCTGGCGGATGGAAGGAGGAAGAGGACGGACGAGGAGAGGAAGGGACGGCGAGCGGAGGGGGACCCTCAGCCGAGGGGACTCCCGAGGTGAGGAGGCGAGGTGTTGAGGGAGGGAAGAGAGCACGCTCGTAAAGGAGCGCTTTCAGGCGGGTGTCCCTCCTCTTCCGTGCCTGTGGCGTCAGGGCCTTGCAGGCCGAACACGAGGAGACAGGGTGGGCCTCCCCCAGACAGAGGAGGCAGCGGTCGTGGGCGTCCGAGTCGGGGAAACTCGCCCCACAGACCGCACACCTCTTAAAACTGGAAGCCATGAAAAAGGAAACAAAAGAAAACAAGAAAGAAAACAACAAATGTCCCTAAGGAGAGAACTTCCAGAGCTGCGTGCTTTTGCGCGGAAAAAAGGGAACTGACTCTGAGCACGTGGTCTGGAGAGCAGGGGCGGGGTGGTACTTGGTTAATAATTTATTAGAATTTCCGGAACTGCTGCACGTGGGCATCAGAATACCACATGTGTGCATTCCACAGAGACCACGAGAATGAACCTATAATTTCTCTTAGTTTAGAGTGTCCCCCACTCATAAACATTATATGACTCTTGACTATTACTAAATCATATTTATGTTACAATTTCAGAGCTCCCAAAAATGCACCATTATTTGCTAATGTTTCCTAACATCGTCTCGAATAACATGTTATTACAGGAAGAGCAAATACATCAAATGTATTAGAACTTCAGAACATAAGAAAAACTCCATAGCTACCTCCATTGTATAGTTGGTGTGCTTGTTATCAAACACCAGTGCTTCTTGTATCAGTTGATGGTCTCCTTCCAGTTTATCAATGTTGTGTTTGTAATTGACAATATTGTGCTCATGCTGCTTTAATTGAGTCATCTGGTCCTCTAATGGCCCCATTATGTCAACAGAAGTTCGAGCAATTTCCTGCAATAGGGAAAGAAAGAAATATAAGAGGGGAAAAACTTTGTTTCACAAAATCTACGTCTTTATGTTTAATGCATGCTAAAATGAGAACCAGCATTAATGGAACTTCCCCTTATATGTGTACAAGAGAGATATGCTAAGGTACTTTCAAAACATTTGTTTTATAATCTTTTAAAGAAGAAGGGGATGCAAGCATAGGCAATATACAGGAGATATATAATATACAATATACCAAGGCCATTTTGAAGCCCCGAGGGCTCTTCAGCAGTCTTCTCCCGCAGGCTAGGTTGCCAGAGTAAAAACTGGAGAGGGCTTTTCTCCCTTTAATGCAGTGGTTCTCATGCTGTGTGTTTTGGCCTACAACTCCCAGAAATCCCAGCCAGTTTACCAGCTATTAGGATTTTTGGGAATTGAAGGACAAAACATCTGGGGACCCACAGGTTGAGAACAACTGGTGTAGATACACTTCAAGACTCCTGTTATTATTAAGGCTGGGGCTTCCTTGATTTGAATCAAATTTGGAGATGGGATCACAGGTTGGGAACCACTGCATTAAAGGAATGGGAGAAGTAGCCTCCTTCTGACAATCCTTCCCAAGACATCTGGGGAGAAATATTAATCCAAAATGGCCGTACATATCCAATCTAGAAAGTGTGCAGGACATTTGTACTTTTTTCCAATATATTTTATCAAAACAGAAGCTAAAAAGGGCTTCTAATTGATTTCCTTTTTCTTTTCTTTTTTTACAAAAAGAAACACCTTTCATGGAGCTAAAGTGGTCAGTGGGACCAAAAACAAGGTAAATGTACCTCCCATGGCTTCTAGAAGAAGGCTATTATGAGTCAATTTATTTGAGGATAAGAAAATAAAGAAACATTTAGGCGTGTTGGGGTGTGAGCCCCGCTGATATCCCATGAAGAACCAGTGTTGCCTAGCAGTTGTCCACCTCTGTTTCAAATAATAAGAATTACAAACATGAAGAAAGTAAATGTATACCTCACAAAAGAACCTCGTTCTACTGAGCTATTCATCCCAACTGGAGCAGAGCCACTGAATAAGTTGAATTTAAGTAACTACTGCCTTACTACATTTCCACTGATCCACTGGGTCTACTTCATTGTGACTAACAAAAGGACTGAATTCACTGTTCTTTTCCTCCTTTCATTGTTCACTTACCCTGATTGTTGGACTAGTAGCTATATGCATGAGGATTCATTATTCATACACATTTGCGGGTATTTGGTCCACTGATTCAATATACCTCTAGTAAAAGCTAGTCTAAATTATGGATATTTATTTGCCAGTTCAATTTGAAAGGATTTCCAAGAACAAACAAACAAACAAAATCCTTGCAACATCATATCAAAGATCTATGTAGTCCAGCATTCTGTTTTGGAAAAGAGGTTGCCAAAAGCAATGCAAAAGTGCAATAGCACCTGTCTATAATAGCTATCTTGAAAGGCAGCCATTATTGGCATCTTCTGTTAATTTGTTGAATCCTGTTTAAAATTGGCTGGGTTGGTGGGCATCACCAGCTCTATTATCAGCTAATCACTTCCAACTGCGTGCTTCTACTTCTAACACCTTCACTGGTGTTGGAAGCAAACTGTTACAATTTCAAATTTGTGGATATTCAATGTCCACATTTCTGCTTCTGTGCATCTTCTTTCCTTATACCCTTTACTATTCTATCCATTTTAGACAAGCTCCAGTTACTTTGTCTCTTTCCAATGTGTCTTGCTGCCATCCATCATATTCAGAGACTGGAAAAGTTACTTTTGTATGCTCCCACTGTCCCACAGACAGCATGACTATATAATTACCCAAAAGTTAACTTTCGAAGTCCTCAGCCTGCAACTCCCAATGTTTGGCATGGCCTGCTACCCTATTAAATCAGGCTCTTTACCTTCAAGGTTTAATAACTGCAAAATATCTCTCTTCACCTAGTAAATGATGCACTCCAATTGCATCCTTATAACTCATTCATTCATCCTTGATACCATTTTTAATCCCTGCTTTATTCTGCACTTATTTTATTCCTAATGTTTACAGTTTGGCCATGTTTACAGCAATTTACCACCATGGTTAGAGAACCACAGTTTGATTGAGTTTGAGTTGGTATTTTTATATGCACATGTGTTTTATTTTATTGTATTTTATATTGTGCTCACTCTTATGTTTTGCTTTTAGGCTCTTTGTGCCATCTGTAAGCTGCCCTAAGTCCCTTTGGGGAGATGGTGATGGGATATAAGAATAAAGTTGTTGTTGTTGTTGTTGTTGTTGTTGCTTTGTCTGTCTAATTTATATTGTAAATCTATACCCCGTGGATAAAGACAGTTTCAATTTTCTGTTCTGTAGCTGCTGACATTAAATAAGATAAGTAGTAGACATATGAAGGACATGTTTATTCATTCTAGTAAAAGGTGTTTTACAGAATAGTAAGCAACCCATCATACCTCCATCTTACTTTGGATCCAGGGCCCAATGACATTGGCCTGAGCAGCAAATTGGCGGCGCAGGCGTTCATTGGTATGCTGACGGGCCAGCTCCTCCTGCAGTGATTGATCCCTTATGGGCACAAGTTGTTTTACCTGCAAAGAGGCAAAGATAGCCTGATCACGCAACATATGAAAAGTTACTTTTAAGACTACTGAGGATTCTGCATGTTGCATTCTTAAAAAGAAAAGTTCTCCAGTTGGACTCAGGTTGTTTGTTTGATCGATAGATTAAAGTAGTATGGCATGCAAAACAACTATAGGCTACAAGAGACTGGTCAAATTGATATGACTGCTATGGAAAGAGACTTTGATTCAGTGAATATAAACTTCAAGTGCTACTTTTTACTACTTCACAAGGCACAATGGGTTAAACCCTTGTCCTGGCTGAACTGCTTTTTTAATTTGTTTTTATTGAGAATAAAAATTGCTCACAAGAGAGTGTAGCATAATAGAAAGATATATTAGTGACTATTAAGATAAAAAGTATCTAGGTTACAAGAGAAGTGTGGGAACAATGTTTTGAGGAAAGTTAGAAATGAGGGAAAGAAGAGATAGTGGAGCACGAAAAAGAAAAAAAAGAAAAAAAGACGCATAGAGGAGAGAAAAAACGGGGGATAGTGTACTTCCAGGTCACCTGGGGAAAAACATTCTCCTTAAGCCCGAAGACTGGCTAAACTGCTGACCTGAAGGTCGGCGGTTTGAATCCGCGAGACGGGTGAGCTCCCATCTGTCAGCTCCAGCTTCCATGCGGGGACATGAGAGAAGCCTCCCACAGGATGGTAACACATCCGGGCATCCCCTGGGCAACATCTCTGCAGAGGGCGAATTCTCTCACACCAGAAGCAACTTGCAGTTTCTCAAGTTGCTTCTGACATGATAAAAAATGACCAAATCAATTTCCACATGGCAGTGGGGTGCCTGGCATGTTCTATGGTCTCTTCAGGGTAAGATGGGGGAGCAGTCAAGAGTCTCATCCAAGAGAATAAGCAAGGGGCCCCAGCCTCAGAACTGGTTTTAATACATTTGGAGATCATTCAAGACTCCCTATCAAAAGAGAAAGCTCCTCATAAGTCCATGAAGTCCAGAAGTCTAAAACAAATGTGGGCAACAGCACTGGAGGGAAGGGGGCAGAGGCCAATTCCATGAAGACTTCATTGTGGATTGGACCCCACAACCAACCCCAAATACTTCGGATTTCTTCTTATTTCCCTTCAAAATGGGGACATGTTCAGTGACCATGCTGGTTAGGGGATTTTGAGAGTTGTAGCCTAGTTACCTACCTTTCTTGAGCTTTGGAATTTTTTTGTCAGTCAGTGTGCCTTTATTGCAGTCAATGAACCATAAGGCTATGCAATAGTTATATACATCTTAAACACATGTAAAAGAGGAGATATACTAGTACTTTATGTTGAACTGGAGTTTGCAGAGTAAAACTCTAAAAGTAAGATAACTATGCTGCCATTAATCATAAAACACATATTTCTGCTTACAGTACCTTATCCCATTTGGTGCGGATTTCATCCAGAGTAATTGTGCTGTAAGGATTGCTGGCACTTATTCTGAGGCTGTAACTCTGAATTACTTTCTCCACTTCGTTATTGATTGAAAAGATAGCTTGCCTTTCACCATCTGCCTCAGGTAAAGTCGCCTTAAACTGCTCGTGAGCAGTGATTAAACTCTGAAACCAGAAGAAAAGCAGGTAAAGATATTACATTAATCATTGTTTCAACAGCTAGAGTATGCTGAGCGGCATTTTCTGCCTTCTGTCCCAGTGTGTGCATGTATAAATATGACACAGAAGACTGTATGGGTAATTAAACTCTGTCATTAACACCCCAATTTCTTGACAAACAGAGGTCAAGGGCTGAGCAGCTAACCACATGTTATTTATGGAAGACAAACAATTGGTATTCAAAGATATAATGTTTCTTAATACAGGAGGAAATACACTACTATATCCCTTTAATCTCCATTAGTTTGTTTAATCATCTTTTAAAGCTGTCCAACATAGTCAGCAGTATTATTTCTCATAGCAAATTCCACAATTTAACAATGTAGTTTGTGAAGAAGTTTTTTCCCCTTTTATCTGTGTTCAGTTTCCCATCATTCAGCTTTAGCGGGTGAGCCCAGACCTTAGCATTATTAAGGTGGAGGCACATCACCTTCTCCACTTTCACCATGCCATGCATATTCATTGGTATCAGGTTTCTCCATGTTCATTTTTTTATTTCTCAAGCTACTTCATACACGGTAATCTATCTTTTGCAGGGAGTTGTTCCAGCTCCTCCTTGTTTTGGTTGCCCCTTCCCCAGTCCCATATCCTTTGAAGTGCAACCCTACAGAGTATCCCAAGAGTTCACAACAGATAAGAACATGACGACACTGGTAGTTTTATTTTTGATTCCTTTGATAAATGTTCTCACTATAGAATTTGCCTCCCACCCCGACTCCTTTTTCAATAGCAGCTACATATTGAAACAACATTTTCATTTTGATATCTGAGATCCTTTTCTTGGTCAGTCTGAGCAGCTCAGTTCCCATCATTTTAACCAGAATACATTTTTATTGCCACAGGATACATCACTTGCAGTTGACCTTTATGCCAATTTCTTTGCAACTGAAATTTAAAAGCACCAATTTTAATTCAGATCCACATGGGACTCTACTTCTCTCATGCCTCTATTATGAAAACTGACCATACCTTCCTGGTTTCTCCTTGCAGACTTCAAGTATTTTTCAAAGTATAAAAAGCTCCACCAATTCATCCAGAACATACGTTCATTTAATTGTCCTATAATTTCCCATATGGCCCTTCCTCGAGTCCCTTCTTTTAAGAATGGCTACTCTGCAGTCTAATGATCCAGCGGTCATTCTCTAGGACAATGGTTCCCAACCTTTTTTTACCAGGGCCCACTTGACCAGGGACCACTCTCCAACATTGGTACCAAAAGGTTTACAAATTAGTTTTTGATTCACTTTGGGGTGCTGATTCAGAAAATTGCATTGGATAGACCACATCAGCTCTAGTTTCTGATACTAAACATATGCCATGGTCAGCGACAGGGAAGGAGTGGCAGGCAGATGAAAGGAGTGAAAATAAAATAAATAAAAAAATAAATAAATAAAGAGGAAGGAGTCTCGTGGAACAGATTTTTTTGGGTCCATGGCCCACAGGTTAAGAACCACTGCTCTAGGAAATGCCACATAAGGTTATTAGGAGACAAGCAATTTCACATTAAAATTTCTTATGTATTCTGGAGTAAATATTGCTGATAAAATGAAACAAGATGCTTTGCTTGTTTCATTTTATCAGCAAGATCTAAAACTTACTCTCTCATCACAAACATTTTATGTACTACTTCAGATTCTTTCCTGGAAATATCACTTCAGCCATGGATATTTTCTCTATATCTTCTAGAATTAAAATAATTTTTTTTCTTGCAATCTGCTCAACTTCCTTTAGCATCCCTTTAACTTTTGTCATCCAACAGACTAAGCACAGCACTTGCCAGTTTCAGCCTCCTGGTGTGTTTAGTCATTGTTATTGTATTATTAGCATTATGGATCTCAAAATAATGTTTACATCTCTGTTTGCACTTCTTTTTGATCTCCTTATTTGGGTAAAAACTTTCCAATTCAATAGTCATCTGGATACTGCTTGTTAATTATTCTAATGCCACAAAAACCTTTAGATTCAGTGCTCCCTTTTCTGCTGTCCCATCTTTTTCAAATGTGTCCATGACTGAGGCCTGCAACAGATAGAGCATTTTTCCAAACTGTGAAAGGTCAGTGTTGAGACTCAGCGTCTGTCTGATGCACCTACTACCAGTTGTAGGAGAAAACGTGGCTTAGAGAATGA